CTTTCCAGCAGAATTCTACAAGACATTTAAGGAGGAGCTGATACCAATCCTACTGAAGGTATTCCAGGCTATTGAAAAGATGGAACTCTCTCCAAATCATTTTATGAAGCCAATATCACATTGATACCCAAGCCAGGAAAAGATCCAACAAAGAAAGAGAACTACAGGCCAATATCTTTGATGAACATAGATGCTAAAATTCTCAACAAGATCCTAGCAAACTGAATTCAGCAATACATCTCAAAAATCATCCATCATGACCAAGTAGGCTTCGTTCCTGGGATGCAAGGCTGGTTCAACATTCGTAAAACCATAAATGTAATTAAATACATCAACAGATGTCAAAACAAAAACCACATGATTATATCATTAGATGCAGAAAAAGCTTTCTGATAAAATCCAGCACCCCTTCTTGATAAAAACCCTTGAACACCTAGGCATACGGAGAACACACCTCAAAAACCCTTGAACACCTAGGCATACGGGGAACATACCTCAAAAAGCCATCTACGAGAAACCCACAGCCAACATACTCCTAAATGGACAAAAATTGGAACCAATTCCCCTGAAAACTGGAACAAGACAAAGATGCCCACTCTCACCCCTCCTGTTCAACATAGTATTGGAAGTCCTGGCTCGAGCAATCAGAGACGAGGAGGCAATCAGGGGTATCCAAATAGGAAAAGAGGAAGTCAAGTTATCTCTCTCTGCAGATGATATGATTGTGTACCTTGAAAACCCAAGAGAATCTGTCAAAAACCTCCTTACACTGATAAAGGCCTTTGGCAAAGTCTCAGGATACAAAATAAATGTACAAAAGACAATCACATTTCTCTACACCAATAATAAACAAACAGAAACCCAAATAAAAAACACAATTCCACTCACAATAGCCACAAAAAAAAAAGAAATACCTTGGCATCTTCCTAACCAGAGACGTGAAAGACCTTTAAAATGAAAACTACAAAAGACTGCTCAAAGAAATCAAAGATGACACAAACAAGTGGAAAAATATCCCATGCTCAAGGACTGGAAGAATCAACATTGTGAAGATGTCCATCTTACCTAAGGCAATCTACAAATTCAATGCAATACCCATCAAATTAACAGCAACATTCTTCTCAGACCTAGAAAAGACAACACAGGTGCCGGGCTCGGTGGCTCAGCCTGTAATCCCGTGCCTTTTGGGAGGCTGAGGTGAGTGGATTGCCTGAGCCCGCAGGTTCGAGACCCGCCTGGGCAGCGAGACCTAATCTCTACAATAAATCAAAAATTAGCCGGGCGTGGTAGCGCATGCCTGTAATTCCAGCTCCTTGGAAGGCTGAGGCGGAAGGATCGCCGGAGCCCAGCAGGCCGAGGTTGCGGTGGCCAGGAGTGGCCACTGTACTCCAGTCTGGGCGACAGATTAAGACTCCAACTCAAAAAAAAAAAACAAAAGACAACACAGGAATTCACATGGAAACACAAACGTCCAAGAATAGCCAGAACAATCCTCAGCAAAAAAAAACAAAGCAGGTGGTATCACATTACCAGACTTCAAACTTTACTATAAAGCCACAATCATCAAAACAGCTTGGTATTGGTATAGGAACAGGCATATAGATCAATGGAATAGAATTGAGATTCCAGAAGCAAAACCTCAATTTCTCAACCAACTCATCTTCGACAAGGCCACCGCCACCTACCACTGGGGAGAGGAGAACCTATTCAGTAAATGGTGCTGGGAAAACTGGCTGACCACATGCAGAAGATTGAAACAGGACCCCTATCTATCCCCATGCACAAAGGTTAACTCCAAATGGATCAGAGACCTAAATGTAAAACCTCAAACCATAAGAACCTTAGAAAATGAAGGAAATACCCTCATGGAAAG